ATATTAGCAAAGGTGCTGAATCAATTCCCGGGTTTAGTCTACACTGTAGAGGAGCTATCCAAGGTGCTGAAACTTCCTTTGGTGGGATACACAATTCAGCAGCCTGGCTGTCTCCTTCTCAATATGGATCAAAACCTAGAATAGATTCACTGACCCAATGACATGGGGAAGAAAAATGACCCTCTTCCTGCTCTATCATCTACATTTTTATTCTATTGATTCCTATTAGTAGCTGTCAAAGATGGTAGGGCTTCATTGGTACACTGGTGATGTTTGCAGGCTGCGGTGACAGCATTAGCTGGGGTAAGCACTGACTCTTCCCTTGTTTGTTCTGAGTCAATAACTGTGAGAATACGTGAGGAATGAGTTTTAATGCTTGGGGAAGCAAGATCTGGAAGAAAGTTCAAACTGAAGGGCTGCTTTTTCCCATGGAAGAGGTTAGCAGTGGGAAAAACCATATCTGAAATATTTTTACTGAAATGGCATGAATGAAGTATATTTTTCCACAATTTCAGGAGTACAGTCACTCAAATCTCACAGAGTGGGAAAATTCTTGAAATTGTAATCCCCAAAAGTAACTTTTTGTGCTCTGACATGGTTTTATTTCATTTCATAATCACTTGTTTGGGTGAAAGTGCTCAGTGGTCGCCTAGTCTTTCAATTAGGACTGTAACTAATGGTTGCATGTGAAGGGTGGTGGTTGGTATTGATGGGCAATGATCCAACCTGCTCTAGCTACTCAGGGCGCTGAGGCAACATATTTTGCTGCCCTAACAGAAGTATCTGACCCCTTTATCTTTGCCTATTTTATGGAAGGTGCCAGAGTGGGACTTTCAAATCACGTATCCTCTTCCTGTTCAGACCATCCAGCAACTGAATCGGTTTGTGTGTGCTTTCAGACTAATTGAAACTTTAGGGTCCTTGAATATGTTTTCTGTGTGATTTCCAGCATGTACTTCCCCCCTCTTCTGCAGACTCATACAACTGTAGGTAGGTACAATTGTGTGCATGTTGCTTACTGCCACAATTGAAACTCTGAGTGAATGTGATGGAGGAAGTAAGGGGGGGGGGGTGAAGGTTGACAGCTAGAGACATCTCTAAAGTCTTTCTTTGCTAATACTTCCCCCCCACCACCACCACCATTATTTGTATTGTGTATTTATCTGCCTTTCTTTCCAAGTGTTGCCCATCCATAGGAGGCAAAACTTGTAAACATTACTGGGTTTTGGACTATGATCCAAAATGTAGCCAGGAAGGTTGGGGGTTGAAGCTGGAGGGCTGTGTGTGTGTGTGTGTGTAATTTTGCAAGCTCTGCTAGACAGACATAATTCACACATCACTAAACTGAAAAGCTTTCACCTTCACATTTTGGTGCTAGTGAGTAATATTTTCCTGCAATATATATAAACAGTTAGCATGTGAGGCATTGTGATCACAGTTCTCTAAAAGAGTATTTATTTCAAAAGTGTGTGTGTGTGTGTGTGTGTGTGTGTGTATGTATGTATGTATGTATGCTGATTTTTGTAGCTATGCTTCAAGGGTAAGTTTAGATGGTCGTAAGATATGGCATGACAAGTGGCTAGGCTGGATTGTGAGGGGCAAAGAAATTAAAAAGAAACAGAGTGTGGTGGCTCATTTTTCAGTTTCAAGCTCTGTGCATGGCTTGTTGGCCTTGCAGAAAAACTGTGTATGTAACAAAGAAATGGAAAGGGGTATTAAAATGTGAAACACTGTGGGACAGCTGGTTATATTCTGGCTGGGAAAGGTATCTGTGTACCCCTGTGACATGTGAATGAAGGAAAACTGTTCTGTTGATGTTGGGAAAGTCTTTCAAACACACTTTAACCATCCTGGTTCTCACATTCGTGGGAATAGCTAAAGAGGGTGGAAGGAAGTCTGATATATACTTTGGTGTTGGTACCCCTGGTTCCAATCAGCACTTGTAATGGTGAGCTTAACATGGCCATTATTCCAGAGTGTAGGTGAGAGAAACCCACAGAGATGAATGGGATGGTGAGCTTTCCAGTTAGAAAGGAAGCCCTGAACTGGCAGAGTTATAGGTAGCTAAGGGGGTTACCATTTCTTGGTGAAAATCTTGATCCATCCTAACCTATTAATAGCAAACCCTTCTAGAGATTCTACTCAGATGAATGAAGACAACAAGAATAGAAGTTAGGTAGGTGGTAATAGGGGTATAATAGGGATGATAGGAGTAATAGAGTGTGTGGTCTAAGGAACATATAGAGGTCAATGGGATGGTGAGCTTTACAGTTAGAAGGAGCCTTGGAAAGGCAGAATTGTGGTGGCTGGGGGAACTTAACTGGGGTTGACCCTTTCCTTTTGCCACACTTAATCCATCCTAGGGATTCTGCTCAGTTTAAGAAAGATTAGGAGTAATGGTGGGGGCGGGGGGGGGGGGGAGAGTCCTAAGGAACCCATATACATCAATGGGAGGGTGAGCTTTATAGTCAAAAAAGTTGGAGCCCTGGAAAGGCAGAGTAGTGGGTGGCTAAGAACACTTAACTCTTTCCTTTTCCCACACTTTTTCTACTCCCTCTAACCTATTAATAGCAGCCCCTTGTAGAGATTCTGCTCAGATTAAAGAAGACAACCAGAATAGAAGGTAGATCCAGATGGGGAGTAATAATACTAAATATTTATTTGTATCCCGCTTTTCTCCCTAAAGGGACCTAAAGCTGCTCACAACATTTTAAAACAATACAAATCATAAGGGGTGTGGTCTAAGAAACCCATAAAAATCAATGGGAATGTGAGCTTTACAGTTAGAAGCAAGTGGAGCCCTGGAGATGCAGAATTGTTGGTTTACCAGTTCCTTTTACCATGCTTCATCCATCTTAACCTATTCACAACCATCCTAGGGATTCTGCTAATTAAGAAAGGCAACCATAAAAGGAGGTACAGCCACATGGGAAATCATAGGGATATGTGGTCTGAGGAACCCATAGAAGTCAATGAGAAAGTGAGCTTTATAGTTAGAAGCAAGTGAGGGCCTGGAGAGGCAGAGCTTACACTTTTCTTTTACCATGCTTCATCCATCCTAACCTATTCACAACCATCCTAGGGATACTGCTGATTATGAAAGACAACAAGAATAGAAGGTAGATCCAGATGAGGAGTCATAAGGGGGTTTGATCTAAGGAACCCATAGAAGTCAGTGGGAAATGAGCTTTACAGTTGGAGTCCTAGGCATGCAGAGTTGTGGGTGGCTAAGGGAACTTGGCTGGGATTAACAATTTCCTTTTACCACACCTGATCCACAGTAGCCTATTCACAACAGTGCTAGAGGTTCTGATCAGATTAAGAAGGCAACCATAATGAAAGGTAGATTAAGATAGGGAGTAGTGGGGGTGTGGTCTAAGAACCTAAGGAGCCCATAGAGGTCAACAGAAGGGAAGACAGAGCCCTGGGCAGGCAGAGTTGTGGGTGGCTGAGGGAACTCAACTGGGGCTGACCCTTTCCTTTTACCACACTTGATCCATCCTAGTCTATTCACAACATTGCCAGGGATTCTAATCAGATTTAAGAAGACAACCATAATGGAAGATAGATTCAGATAGGGAAAGGTGTGGCCTAAAAACCTAAGGAATTTATAGAGGTCAATGGGATGGGGGGCTTTACACTTAGAAGGGAAGCCAGAGTCTAAGGAACATATTATTATTATTATTATTATTATTATTATTATTATTATTATTATTTATACACACCTCTCTTCTCCAAAGAAATTCAGGGTGGTTTATAACAAAAGTCAATATAGAAGTCAATGGGATGGTGAGCTTTAGTTAGAAGGAAAGACAGAACCCTGGAAAGATAGAATTGTGGGTGGCTGAGGGCACTTAACTAGGGATGACCCTTTCCTTTTACCACACTTTATCCACTCTAACCAATTCAAAACAGTACTAGAAATCCTGCTCAAATTAAGGAAGACAACCAGGATGAAAGTCAGATCCAGATGGGGATTAATGGAGGGGTGAAGTATAAGAGTCTAGGAACATATAATAATAATACTAACAACAACAACAACAACAACAACAACACTTTATTTATATGACACCCTATCTCCTCAAAGGGACTCATGGCAGTTTACAAAAAAAGTCAATATAGAAGTCACTGGGATGTCGAGTTTTAGTTGGAAGGGATGTCAGAGCCCTGGAAAGGCTGAGTTGTGGGTGGCTGGGGGGACTTAACTGGGATTAACAATTTCCTTTTACCACACTTTATCCACCCTAACCAACTCACAACATTGCTAGGAATCCTGCTCAAATTAAGGAAGACAACCAAGAGGAAAGGTAGATCCAGATGGGGAGTAACAGAGGGGTGTGGTCTAAGAATGTAAGAAACCCATAGAGGTCAATGGAATGGGGAGCTTCGCAGTTAGAAGGGAAATCAGAGCCATGGGAAGGCAGAGTTGTGGGTGGCTGGGGGAATTTAAATGGGATTATCAATTTCCTTTTATCACACTTGATCCACCTTAACCAACTCCCAACAAAGTGTGAGATTCTGCTCAAATTAAGGAAGACAATGAGGGTAAAAGGTAGATCCAGATGGGGATTAAGAAGAGGTGAGGTATAAGAGTGTAAGGAATAATAATAATAATAATAATATACTGCTCTTATCTTCCCAAAGGGACTCAAGGCGGTTTACAACAAAAGTCAATATACAAGTCAATGGGATGGTGAGCTTTAGTTAGAAGGGAAGCCAGAGCTCTGAAAAGGAGTTGTGGGTGGCTGGGGGGGGGGGCTTTATTTTGGTCACGCTTAATCCATCCCATTTTGGGATTAATGAAGACCAGTAGGATGTAGATCTGGAAAAGGAGTCATAGGGGTGTGCGGTGATGGGGGTTGGGCTCCTACCTGGACTTCAGGTACCAAACTGGGCTACTGTGCGCGAGGGAAGGAGCGGGCACTGAGAACTCTCCCTGGGCTCTCTTCCCAACCCACTGGCCCACCCACCGGCCCCGCCAGTGGACCCGGAGCGCTTACCTGCTTGCTGTACTTGCTGCTGGCCTGGCAGCTGTACTCGGAGCAGTGGTCGGAGCCGATGGAGATGTTGTCCCCGGCGCCGACGAAGGTGTTGGCGGGGGGCAGCTCCTGCACAGCCTGGTGCTTCTTCCCGGCGGTAGGCGACTGCGGGTGGAGCTGGACGGTGGGCAGGGGCGAGCTGGACTTGTAGTGCCGCGCCAGGTCGGGACTGCCCCCGGGCCCGCCGTTGACGGCGCGGTAGCGGCTGAGGGCGGGGCTGTCCCCGGCCAGCTTTTCGTGGACGCCGTCGTAGCGCTGTCCGTTGGGCTTGGAGGCCTCGACGGTGACGATGCTGCTGTAGAGGGGCTGCTTCCCGGCCGCCTTCTTGCCCTTCTTGTCCTTCTTGGGCTTCTTGGCCTTGTCGTGGTGGTGGAGCGGGGCGGGGGCGAAGAAGTCCTCGTGGTCCTTCTTGCCGGCCTCGTAGCCCCCGCGCTGGTGGGCCTTGGCGCGGCAGTAGCGGGCCAGGCCCACGCCCAGCAGGAGCAGCGCCACGGTCACCACGCCGGCCACCACGCCCACCGCGATGCTCAGCCGCTGCTTGCCCAGCTCGTAGCTGGGGTCGCCGGCGATGTCCTGGCCCAGCGGCGTGTGGAGGCTGCGCGCCACCTGGCTCTCCACCAGCGTGGCGTTGGCTAAGCTCTCGTTGACGAAGACGTGGAGCAGGGCCGTGGTGGCTTGGCCCGGCGCCCCGCTGTCGTTGACCTGCACCACCAAGCGGTGGAGCCCGTAGTGCTTGGGCGCCAACTGGCCCACCAGCGAGACCACCCCGCTGGCCGCGTCGATCTCAAAGAGGCGGAAAGGGTTGCCGCCCACCAGGCTGTAGCTCAGCTCGGCGTTGGGCCCGGCGTCGGCGTCGCGCGCCCGCACGGTGGCCACCGCCACGCGCGGGAGGCTGGAGGGCGGCAGCACCGTGTAGGAGCCATTGGCCGGCGCCGTCACCACCGGCGCGTTGTCGTTCTCGTCCATCACAAAGAGCGACACCGTGGCCGTCGCGGAGCGGGCCGGCTCGCCGCCGTCCACCGCCTTGACGGCGAAGGTGTAGCTCGTCTGCATCTCCCTGTCGAAGGAGACGGCGGAGAAGATGGTGCCCGTGTCGTTCTCGATGGAGAAGATCCCGCTCTCGCCCTCGCCCTGGATGGAGAGGCTGAGCTGGGCGTTGCGGCCCTTGTCGGCGTCCATGACGGTCACCATGCCCACGGGGCTGTTGGGCTGCAGGTTCTCCTTGACGTAGAAGGTGAAGACGTCCTGCATGAAGCGCGGCTCGTTGTCGTTGCGGTCGGCCACGCGGAGCAGCACCCGCGTGGAGCCCTGCAGCGAGGGCGTCCCTTTGTCGCGCGCCGTCACCTGGAACTCGTAGGCGTCGCGCTGCTCCCGGTCCAGCGCCGCCTGCACGCGCACCTCGCCCGAGTCCGGGTCGATGGTGAAGAGGCCCGCCTCGGAGGAGGAAGAGGAAGCGGGGAGCGGCTCCAGGGAGTAGGCGATCTCCGCGTTCTTGCCGCTGTCGGCGTCGGTGGCCAGGATGGTCGCCACACGCTCTCCCGGCGCGTTGTTCTCCGGGAAGGAGAGCTCCAACAGGGCCTGGCCGAAGACGGGAGGGTTATCATTCGCGTCCGCCACTCGGACCAAAAGCGAGTTGTTGCTGGAGAGGCTGGGGCTGCCAGAGTCGACGGCGACGATGACGACGTTGTAGTCCCGCGCTGCCTCGTAGTCCAGGGGCGCTGAGGTGTGCAGGAAGTACTTGCGCTTGTTCTGGGGCTCGCCCTCGCCCTCGCTGGCCGGCTTGAGCTGGAAGGGGACGTCCCCCACCACCGTGCAGGTCACCACCCCGTTCTCGCCCTGGTCGCGGTCCGAGACCTGCACCAGCGCCACCGGGGTGTCCACCAGCACGTCCTCGCCCACTGTGGCCACCCCGTCCCGCAGAGGGATGCGTCCGATCTTGCGGATGTCAATAGCGGGGACGTTGTCGTTCTCGTCGCGGATGTTGAGCACCACGGTGGCCTTGTCGCTCTTGGGGGGCTGGCCCCTGTCGCGCGCCATGACGCTGAAGCGCAGCTGGTTGACCTCCTCGCGGTCGATGCGGTGGAGGACGCTGAGCCAGCCCGAGGCCTCGTCCAGGCGGAGAAGGCGACGCACTGACTCCGTGGCCGCCCCAAAGACGTACTCCAGCTGCCCGTTGACCCCAGCGTCAGCGTCGGCGGCCCGCAGTTGCAAAATGGGCGTCCCAGGGCTGCTGTTCTCCGCCAAGTCGGCCTCGTAGACGCTCTTCTCGAAGCGGGGGCTGTTGTCGTTCACGTCGGTGATCAGCACCCTCAGCAGGGCCTGCGAAGAGCGAGCTGGGTCTCCACCGTCGCGCACGCGGAGGCTCAGCTCATAGGCGTCGCGCTGCTCTCGATCCAAAGGCCCTTTGACAATCAGCTGGGGCTGCTTCTCCCCGTCGGGGGTGTCTGCAACTTGCAGCTCGAAGACGGTGCTCCGGGCCGTCGAGGAGCCTCCACCTCCTTCTACTTCGGGCCTCCTCTTATCTGAGGCGCCTCGCCGCCCCTCACCACCGCCGGGCTCTTGGAGCAGCTCATAGCGCTCGATTCCGTTCCGCCCGAAGTCGCGGTCAGTGGCGGTGGGAAGGAGGTAGAGAGTGCCCACGGGGCGGTTCTCCTCCACGGTGAGCGTCAGCACTGGAGACGGGAAGGTCGGCGTGTTGTCATTGATGTCCAGGATGACCACCCGGCCCTCGAAGAGGTCCACCCAGCTCTGCGAAGGGCCGATGACGGAGACTTCGAAGTCGAGGAAGCACTCGTTCTCGTCGAAGATCATCTGGCACTGCGGCAGCTTCTCGCGGTCGATGCGGCGCTCGGTGGTGCTCAGCTCGCCCGTCATGTTGTCGATCTTGAGGTAGTCGGCGCCGGACTCGAGGCTGAACGTGACCTCGCCCGAGCCGGTGACGATGCCCAGGTCGGAGGCGACGTTGCCGATGCGGATGTCGGCGGGGCCCTCCTCGGCCAGGCGGTAGCGCAGCACCTGCTTGGCCGACGCCGGCACCACCAGCCCCAGCGGCGGAGGCAGCAGGAGAAGGAGCCAGCAGGCGCAGCAGCGCACCAGGGCCGGCAGCCGGCGCAGCCGCCACATCCTCCTCCTCGCCCTCAGCCTCCCAGCCAGGCAGGAGAAGAAGCGCCCGAGAAGACGTCCCTTTGGCAATCCGGGGTGGGGGGAAAGCGGAGGCAAATCAACGCGTACAATCCTGCTTTGGAGGAGAAACTTCGCGGTGCATCAGAGCAATCGAGTCCAGAGCTGTCACTGGGAGGCTCTTCTTCTCCTTCTTCTTCTTCCCAGCCTTGCTTTCCTCCCGCGTTCCTTTCGATACTCACAGTTCACGGGGCAAAGCGGCTTTGGCTCGAGGAAAGATTCATCTCAGCGGAGAGGCTTGGAAAGGAAAGGAGGGGGCAGTTCCGCCTCTTTCTCCTCCCTCCCTCCTCCCTCTTCCCTCCTCCTCCTCCTCCGCCTTGGATGGTACTGTAATCACTTTGCAAGGTTGGCAAGAAAAGGAAGAGGAGCAGCGGCGAGGAAAGATGCAAGGCTGCCTCGCGCCCAAGTCCAGTCCAATTCGCGCGCGCTCTCCCTCTCCTTCTCCCTCTCTCTCTCTCGCTCACCGCCGTCGCTTCAGCTCTTTCCTCCTCCTCCTCCTCCTCTCCGCTCCGCAGACACCCGCCGAGGAGGAGGGGGTGGAGTGGGGGAATGTCAATCGCTTCATTCAGAGCGGGCTGGTGTCCGGTGGAGGGGAAAGGACCGAGAGAGAGAGAAAGAAGGGAAGAAAGAAGAGCAGGCAGGCTTCCCAGTCCTCTTCTCCGGCGATGGAATTAAAAAGAGAACCTTTCCCGCACCAAATAGCCCATCTCCAATGCCTCTGTTGGGGGGGGGGGGGAGAGAACACGCTTCTTTCTCCTCTCGTTCTCTTCTCCTCTCGTTCTCTTCTAGGAATCCCCTTCGATGCTTAGGATGGCGCCCAAATCCACAGGGATGTCCGTTTCAGTCCCTTCTCAGCAAAGGAGCAGGTCTTTCGTCAAATAAGAAGAAGAATACAAAAATAAATCAACTCTGCGCAAGGTCATTAGTCCCGAAAAGTCCGAAAGGCTAAGAGGAGAGGGAAGGAAGCAAGGAAGGATGGATGGAGAGCTGGCTACTAGCTCTTTCCCAGCCGTGGAGGCACACACAGCACACACACGCGCGCGCGACGCCGGAGTCCCAAGTTTGCCGTCGCCTCTGCAGTTGGGCTGCGCGTGTGCGCGCGCGGGAAGGCGGGAGCGCGGACGGGCGCGTTGGGTCCGTGGGCGCCTTACCTGCATTTACCCTGCATGGCTTGGAGGCAGCGGAAGGGGCTGCAGCAGCAGCGCCAAGGAGAGAGTGCCAAGCTCCGGCTTTGGCGGCTTCCCCTCGCCGTCCCAGGCAGGTAAAAAAGGGGGTGGCAAGTTCAGCCCCTCCCCTCCCTCCTTCCGTGTCCCTCTGGTCCAAAGGTGAGCCCAAAGGTCGGCTGCGGGGGAGGGGGAGAAGAGTCAGGATGGCGTGCTTCCAGTAGCCCTAGCTTCCTTCCTCGTTGATCGATGCAGGGAAAGAGCTGGGACTGGGTCTTCTCTCCACGTGAAGGGCTGGATTATATCCGTCGCAACGCGTGTCCAAAAGAATGATGGCTGGTAATCAAAGGAGAGCCGAACGAGAGCCGCAGTTGTGGCTGTTCGCTTTCCCTCTCTCCCCCTCTCTCTCTTTCTGTGTCTCTGCTGGCTCGCCTCGCTCAAGTGCGGCTGGTTGGTGCAGGGAGCTCGCTAGCCTCTCTCGCTGAATCTCTGGGAGGCACACACTTGCAGGGGCGCGCGCGGGCGCGCTCCCGCGCACTCCCTCACACGCCGCGGAGCAGAGGAAGGCGCGAGCGTGACGCCTGGCCGCTGGAAGCAGAAAGAAAGAGGGGGGGGGGACAGGCAAGAAGGGAGGGGGGCGGGGGAGAAAGCGGCGGAGCATCAAGTTTGTCCTAAAGTGCTTGGGAATGGGAAGTCTCTCTCAGCGGCGGAGGTGGCTCTTCTCTCTTTCCCTCCCGCCGACGCAGAAAGCAAAAGCCCAGCTAAAAACCTCTCCCCCCCCCCCTTGCTTCAAACACCATGTTTCAGTCAGAAACTCCTCGGGTGCTGAAAGAGGGGAAGCCACGTCTTCTATGTGTCCAAATGTGGGGAAGGGTTTGTGTTTTTTGGCGGAGGAAAAGGAGGGGGGAGAGTCATGTGGAGTCTTCTTTGCATAGTCTTTTATTGACGTTTCCCCTCATCACTTTCGGAGGGTCGTGACAGACAGGAAGAGAGGGAGAGCTGCAGTGACTGGAGAGAGATCCAAACTCCAGGGAGGAGGAGAAGGAGGAGGAGAAGGAGGAGAGGAACCTCCAGCCTGTACACAAGAGAGTCTACACGGAGGGGAGAAAGTGTAATGTGGAATCTCACACTACATCCCCCTCCCCCCAATGAACCCTGATGTAGAGAGATGGCTCTCCCGCTATTTCATTCCTTCCTCTCTCTCTCTCTCTCTCCCGCGCTGTGGGGCTGACTGACGCGTGTCAAGCAGAACGGGCTCCTGCCTCTGAAAGCAACTTTCTTCCCTTCCTCTGGTCCAAAACTCCGTCCACTTTGGCTTATTCCCTCAGCTGGCCACTTTCTCCTTTTGACTTTGAGGCGTTCCTCCGCCCGTGGCATTTCCCCCTCTCTTCCTCCTCCTCTGTTTTTCTAAAGAGGGGGCAAGGAAAGCAACGCCTGTTGGCTTCTCCCTCCCTTCCTTCCCTCCCTCCATCCCTCCCTCCCAGCGAGGGAGAAAGAGGCAGCTGGCTGCGGAGGAGGAAGAGGAGGAGGAAGGCGAAGACTTAATGCAAAAAGCCTTATTGGGGAGAGCGGTTCCGCGCCTCTTTCTCCTCCTCCTCCTCTTCTTCCCCCCTTTAACTGGAAGACTGCTTTGACAGGGCAGAAACACCACCGCCGTGATTGAAGGGTTGGAAAACCCCAGGAAAGGGCGAAGAGTACTGGAAGCGGCTGAGAAAGGCGCTGCGGAAAGAGCCGTCCCCCCCCCCTCCTGCCCGCCGCGGAGAGTGAGCTCGAGCTCGAGCCCGCGCGCGCCTCTCTTATTATTATGTCTGCCTCTCCGAGACAACCCCGCACTCCCTTCCTCGCTTCCTTCCTTCCTTCCTTCCGCCCGCGAGGACTCCCTCCTTTTGGCGCGACTGGGGCGGCAGCAACAGCTGCAGGCGCTGGGGCTCGCGCTCTCTCTCGCTCTCTCTCTCTCTCCCTCTTTCCCCCCCTCCCTTCCCCCGCTTCTCAGTGCCCTCCCTGGTTGGTTGGCGAGCTTGTCAAGCCCCGCCCCTTTCTCCCCCCCCTCCTTGCTCTCCCCCTCCCTCCCTCTCTCTTCAGGACCTCGCCGGAGACCCCGGGTTTGGATATCTGCAGCATCAGCGAGAAAGAGGCGAGTTGGCGCAGGCGCAGTGGGCCTCGCCGCAGTCCCGGGGAGGGGAGAGGCGGGGAGTTCCGGCAGATTCTCGGCGGGTTAAGTGGGATTAAGATCAAGCCTCCGCTTTATTTGCCAAGCGACTTGACTTTGTCAAAACGGGGGGAGGAGGGGGGGGAGGTGCCCCTGATGCCTGAGGAGGAGGCAGGACGTCCCTGCTCTTTGCCCCGAGAAGGAGGCCAAACAGAACGGCCCCTGCATTGCGAGGCATCCGGAGCCCGCTCGCCTGGCACAGTCATCCCGTTCTGGTGCCCGAAATGCTTTTAGGCGCCGCGAGAGATCACGATGCGGTCCTCATCCGCCAACTTCGGAGGCGACGGCGATTTCGTTCCTTCGGGATTTCATTCCTTGGTTTCGAGAGGGGGGGTGGCGCGATCCAGCGTTGCGTGCTGCTCCCCGAGCCTTGGCTGACTGCAAAGGGAGGCAGAGAGGGAGGGAAGAGCCCGAGAAGGCTCCTAGACGCTGCTGCTTTCCTGGAGGTCTTCCCTCCCTCCTGGTCCTATTCCAGTCCACTTCCCCACTCCGGCGTCGCATCCCCCTCAAAGCCCAAGCTTTCCACGATTGAATTCCCCCATTGAATGGTTCCAGAGAATCACTAACCCCCCCCCCCTCTACGTTCCCCAATGCTTCCCACAATCCTTCTCTTTGCAGTAAAGTCATCCACACATTCTCATCTTCTTCACACGCATTCCTAGTGCAAGCCTTCGGCCCAGACCCCATTCATCCCCAATTCTCTCCCAGGATTGTGGGGATCGGCTCTCTCTCGGGAAATTAACAGGGAGGTAAAGCGGCACTACATCCTTTCCTTTCCTTTTCTTTCCTCCCCTTTCCTTTCCTTTCCTTTCCTTTTCTCCCCTTTCTTTTCCTATCCTTTCCTTTTCTCCCTTTCCTCCCCTTTCTTTTCCTTTCCTCTCCTTTCCTTCTCTTTCCTCCCCTCTCCTTCCCTTTCTTTTTCCTTTCTTCCCCTTTCCTTTCCTTTCCTCTGCTTTCCTTTTCTTTCCTCCCCTTTTCTTTCCTTTCCTTTCCTCTCCTCCTTTTCTCCCCTTTCCTTTCCTCCCCTTTCCTTTCCTCTCCATTCCTTCTCTTTCCTCCTTTTCCCCCTTTCCTTTCCTCTCCTCCTTTCCCCCCTTTCCTTTCCTTTCCTTTCATCTCCTCCTTTCCCCCCCTTTCCTTTCCTTTCCTTTCCTTTCCTTTCCTTTCCTTTCCTTTCTTTTCCTTTCCTTTCCTTTCCTCTCCTCCTTTCCCCCCTTTCCTTTTCTCCCCTTTCCTTTCCTCCCCTTTCCTTTCCTCTCCATTCCTTCTCTTTCCTCCTTTTCCCCCTTTCCTTTCCTCTCCTCCTTTCCCCCCTTTCCTTTCCTTTCCTTTCCTTTCCTCTCCTCCTTCCCCCCCTTCCTTTCCTTTCCTTTCCTCTCCTCCTTCCCTTTCCTTTCCTTTCCTTTCCTTCCTCTCCTCCTTTTCCCCCTAACCTTTCCCCTCCTCTCGTCTCTTCTCCTTTCCCTTCCCCCTTCTTGCCTCGGGCAATGGACTGGACGCGGGATAGAGGAAGGGGTGGCACATGCCAAGGCTACCGATTGCCATGGAAGGGAGACCTAGAGGAGCGGGTGGCGTTTTGCCTCTCTGCCCCTGGCTTTCCTTTCTGCAAAGGCAGTTGTTTCCCTCTGGATCCAAGGCTGCCAAAGACCCTCTAGTGGTCGGAGAGTAGGGGGGGGGGGGAATCCATGGACACGTTATCCTGGCCTTACTGGGAACGCTGCCCACGAGACCTCGCTTCCCTACTCTCCCTCAAGGCGCCTCTGGGGGAGTTTCTCCTTTTTCACCGCGGCCACCTTTTCCTCGGGGCGCTGCTGGTGGCAAAAACCCACCCGGCGGGGTCTTCCACCCGCTTCCGCTCTCTCTACGCTCTCCTCCTCCGGCTGCCAGGCCTTCACTGTTAAGGATCAACTCTCTAGGCTCACGCGAGCGGGTCTGGAGTGCCATCTATCAATCACAAACAAGCCCTGGGGGTTTTAGAAAGGGAAAGAGTCCTATTGAGGAAGATTTC